ACTGTCTCATTTTAGGGATTGATAGCGTTTTTACGCATGTCAAATTAGTGAGGACACTTGCTTATGCATTGAAATTAATTGCTTCCTACAGTACGAAACTCATTTCTAAATTAGGGAGGACCATGGTTTTGACATTACCTTAATGGCTCATCAACAGTTCGAAGGAAATGTGTATCGTGGATGCGTAGCTTCTAAGTCAGTACAAAGGCCAGACAAACCCAACTATGTTGAGTTCCAAGGCAAGAATGATCTTGAAGTCAAAGCATTCCTTGGTTGAGATATATGCATTGATAGACAGCGTTTTAGCCAATAAATTGGGGATTTTTCTCTAAACTTTATCAGGAATAGAATGCCAAACAGGTCCTATAATAAAATGTAAAAAAATCTAGCTTATCATTGATTAAGATTGACATATTAATTTCTGGATGCATGTTTAATTGGAATCATTACTAATACTAGGATTGCATTTTCAGCCTCAGAACCTATCAGCCAAAAATTGCTATTAGCATGATAACACTTAAATGTGAAGTAGGTTGACCTCATTGCCGCAACTTGGTCTTGTTGTCAAGGCGACTTAGTAGAACGCACCTAGTCCGAAGTCCTCTGCCATAGTAATTATCATAGTTCCCAAGAAGACGAGTTGTAGCCTGGTGCTGAGAATGTCAAGACACTCACTGATGATGCTGACTACGCTGTCGGCGAAATATCTGAGAATGTACCAGGTCCTGTACCAGCGCCTGGAGTAAAACGCAAACTGGGACTGGAATCGAATGAAATCCTTCAACTATAAAAATACGAAACAGATCCATGCTCTGATGCTGAGAAATATGATAACCGCTATGACAGAGGACTTCGGACAAGATGGGTTCAACTAAGTCCGCTTGACAACAAGACCAAGATGTGAAAACGAGGTCAACCCACTTTTATAAATCGGAAGGAGACTGAGACCATACCGAGGACAATGCCATATTGGTCTTAATATTTTTGATTAAACTATAATTGTTATTTGACCTTGTTTTCGCAACTTGCTCATATTGGTAGGAAGACTTAGAGAAACACACCTAGTCCGGAGTCCATTGTATGCATGATGATTTCCAGAGTCGGACAGTGCACTTAGTAGATTCCCAGACGTTTCGCCAGCATCGTCAGTGAGTCTTGCCATTTTTATCACCACCTTGCAACTCGTCAAAAAGACAAGTGAAGCCGATCATCTGACAATTGTCTGCTAAGCACTTGTGGTATCTCTCCTTCTGCTCTGAGCTATTCACCAATCCGATATCCTCGTATCACCCCTTCATTATCACAATTTCTCAATTGCTCATTTAAATGTGGTATGGTGTGGACTTTTGAGTGGATTTCATGATAGCTCCTCACACCCCACGTTTACTTTCTCACCTCCTCACCCACCTGCACTGTTGTGCTGGGAATGTTTAACAGAGTCTGCCATAATATTCCGTAATTCACTTCCCATAGATCTTATCTGAGTCTCCCTTTTGGCCCATAGCAGCCGCCTCCTACCCTCCTGGGTCAGGTGTTTAACTCGACCCCTGCCACCCTATCTGTACTACTAAAAGCGTTATTTTCCCCACATGTCTCAAGCCATGATGGAACGCATACTCCCGCCTCGTTGAATAGCCACCTAAAAATCAGGAGGCTCATGCTTGATGAGCGATTAACTTGAGCCTAAAGATCCAGAGCCTTTGCTTTATGAACCACGTCTATGATCAAACACGTCTACTATTGGCCAACTAGCTCTCGTCTCTGCCGCATCTATCGTGCTCCTATCCATAGTGCCAAGTCTATGACTTGCTATGCCCTAGTCTCTTGTGTGCAAACCCACAAATGTTGTGGTTCTACATTGAACCTAATCAAAATAAGTAGAACCACAACATTTGTGGGTTGGCACAAAAGAGACTAGGGCATAGGAAGTCATAGACTTGGCACTATGGATAGGAGCACGATAGATGCGGCAGAGACTAGAGCTAGTTGGCCAATAGTAGACGTGTTTGATCATAGACGTGGTCCATGAGGCAAAGGCTTGAATATGAGAATTATGTGAGCTCTTTAGCCTTAAGCTAGTCTCCCAGACGCAGAGAGTGGGAAATAACGCCTCGAGAAGGACCGATTGAGTGGCGAGGTTCAGTTGAAATACTTGAAGCAGGAAGAATCAGGACGGATCCTACGGGACAAGAGGGAGACTCTGATAAGTCCTATGTGAAGAGGATTGAGGGTGAGGCGGTGAGAAAGCTAGCGTGGGGTGTGGAGAGTTCTCATAAAATCCGCTGAAAAAGGCACACCACACCACATTTAAATAATAAATTGGAACAATGAAGGGGTGATACGCGGATATAGGATTGGTGCATAGCCAAGGGCGGAAGGAGAGATACCACGATTGTTTAGCACAAAAATAGTCAAAGGATCGGATTCACTTGTCTCTTTGACAAGTTATAGTGAGGTACTAAGAATGGCAAGACTCACTGACGATGCCGGCGAAACGTCTGAGAATGTACCACGTCCACGGTCCGACT